CCTCCCCTCTTCCAGATCCAGTGACCGGGGGTTTCTCTCGGCCATTAATCCAGGATTGACAAGAATCCCTAATTAATTTAATTAGGCGTGGATCTTGCGCTAGTGTCCTGAGTTAGTTAAACACGGAGCGGGGGGCCGCGAGAGAGGAGGAGAGGAAGGGGGGGCTGGATCTGTAGGGGCGGGGCTTAAAATGACAAGGCGGCTGCCTCGGAGAGGGGGCAAGAGGCGAGCGCTTCCTCCTAACGTCTTATTTACCAGCTCAGGGGGCGGGCGGGCTGGCTGGCTAGCTAGCTAGGAGGGCACCGCTTCCCTGCCCGTCGCCTTCGGAAGGACAAAAAAACAAAACAAAAAACCAGCCCTGCCGCAGCCAAAGAGAGATGGGCGCCCGCTTTGATCCGACTCCCCTGGCCAACGCCACCAGCTCGGTGGGGCCTTTTGAAATAAAGAAACTTAACAGGCGTGCTCACCGGGTTAAAGCGCCTGAACCCGGATCCTAACTGGGAAGGCAACTGTGTGGAATTCAGTGGGTCCGATCCCCAAGGAATAGGGAGGATAATCGTCCCGCTGGAGTTTTATTTAGACCCATACCGGAACCGGGGGGGAGAGGAGGACAAAAATTCTCCCCACTCCCAAGAATTAACAAGGGTCCTAGAAAGATTTAAACTCCTCTCTTTGATATTACTCTCCAATACAGCCCCGTTTACTTCTTCAGCCGGTCAGTTCCACGCTTAAAACATAAGAGTTTATTTCAGATTATTTTTGCTTGTTGCCTCTCTCTCTATTCTGTCGTCCTGAATATTAATATAAAAATGCAGGACTCTCGGGGCCAACGTAGGAGGCTGAGGTAGGGCTTCTCGCTAGAGAGTTGGTTTCTCCTAGGGGTTCTTGCCGGAAATAAAGCCAGACGTCTCCCCACCCCCACCCCCTTATCTCCGAGTGTTTGTTTTGATGCCCCAAACGACCCTTCTGAAAAATACACGTGGAGGCTAAAACCTACAAGAAGACGATATTCCCATCCACCCCCGCCAGATCAATCCAAACTGAAGATGTGTTTTCTTTTCTGGATTTCTATGGGCAAACCCGTTAAATGTGGTCTGGTAGGTCGGTGTAAATATTAAGAGAACGTGGTAATTTATAAATCTCTCGATATAACCACAAAAATGCTTTCTTTGCAGTGTTCTGAGAAAATTTGGACAGCTTCACCTTCACACATTGAATACCCAATCAGAGTCTGCAATGCAATATAATTTTACTAAGCATTTAGGGCAACAGAGTGCGTTACCACTGTAGGCAAATGTGTACAGTACTGCATTGCAAAACACGTTTAAAAGCTGGTCCTACGGACGTCAACAGAACTTACTTCACAAGTCGGATCGGACTTTAAGCTACAGTATTAAACATACCTAGGGAGGAAATGACACGATACTGAGTGGAGCTTATTTTTGAGTAATCATAATTAGGATCCTCTTTTTGCATTTCATCACCTGGCAAACCTGAGGGGAGGTAGTTAAAACTGTGTTAAGAATATTTGTTACTACAATCTCCCCTGTCGCCTCTGTTTGATCTCATTATATTCAGACCTTTAAAGGTGGCAGGTGACTCAGGATGATGAGTTTACACTTTGGATAGGTGATTTAGAATTAGCTTATCCACTGATTAAAAAAAACTTTCCAAAAAGATTTTACAGCAAAATAAGATGCATAGGGACGGGACTACATTCTCTGAACGTTTGTTTCACATAGAGAAGGCAAAATGAAAAAGTTCTTACTGCTGACTTGTTAAATAAGTACTGTACATCGCTTAATATTCAGACTCCAAATCAACACGAACGTTTTGGCCTACCGAAAAACCACGGAATTGTGCCTCGTGTTCTGTCTTTTGGGAGGAAACTGCTTAGCCATGTTCAGGTAAAACAAGTCCACGATATCACTCTGATAGACAAAACAGAAAACAAGTGAAATGCCAGAATTGTAAAGACACTATCTGCCCTATCGAGTTCAATGAAACTTTTAAAGTACTGTCCTTAGACTGGATAAATCAGTTACTAAACATTGTAAGCCAATTATTTAAAAAAAATCTTTGGTGGCTATTGTTTTAAAATTACATTACACAGTTTTATTCGTATTAGTACATGCGAATTCTACTTGACACTTCCCTCAACATATCTTTCTAGAGGTAAACGTTACCCATACTATTTCTTTACAGAAAAGGATTTTTTTTGCTTCGTTTTGTCAAACAAAAAAGTGCATTACATTTATACACGATGGGGTTTCTTTTTAAACAGAACAACCTATGTATATTTACTTGCAATTAAACTCTGTTTTCTCCAGCCGAAAGCACTCTATCTGCCACACATGTCAAGTATTTCACTTTAGCATAATTTTACACTAATGTTCCATTGTCGAGAATGTTGAAAGGAAAGGAAAATTTGCGACCAAAGGTATACAGGAGCTGTTAAACTGGCATCCAAATAAACTCCTGATAGGCACATTGGGTTTGTTCCCGTAGAATCCGAACCGTTTGGACTACCAAACATGAAACGTTCGAACGAGTTCTTTAAGATGTATTTAGGCTCGCACATGAAATCTGAAAATCGTTCCCCCCCCCCGAATCAAAGTTCCATCTCGATTATATTTAAACATTTGGAAATGCTAATGGAGTTTCTTTGCGAGTTTCTCTAGTCTTATCTTTCCTCGAAAAACCTCAAGACTTTCATTTCCCTGTTGAAAAGTACTGTATTTCAGCTTCCTAGGAATAATCGTTCTTCTGTCGCACAGAGCCAGGCCTAATCTTCGTGACCCACCACCCAGAAGCTACCCAGAGCAAAACAAACAGCGGCTACTTTACCCAGTCAGACAAAAGCGCCTCCTCTACACAGCGAAGAAATGTTTTTTTCTCGGAGAAGAGGGAAAAATATATTAGTCTAGTATGCATTCCAGGAAAGAGTGAGTTTTTTTAATTACTCTTGGGTTAAATGAAAAACGATAAATTTTATTCGTTTCTTCTATCGGGGCTTCTAACCTCCCCTCCTCCCGCAACGATCACAACCCTAGTCTCGAATGGGAAACTAATTTGTACCTAACGTCAGAAAGCCCATCATTCCCAGGGAAGGAAAATTGCTGCGTTTTAAAAGCAATTTGTAGATAAATCATTGCCGTTTTAATCACAGTGCACCTTATACAGACAGAAGTCTGCGATTTATGCTGGTTTATTATTATTATTATTGCTATTATTATTTTCTGATGGGGATGCAGGAAGAAACGGGGGGGAAGGAAAATCTAGAAATAAAAGAAAGATAAGGGTTACTCCGATTGAATCCGCTTTCAAAAAGAAAGAAAACTCTACAATGACCTTTATAATATTCCAGCTTGTAGTTTGTATAACCCACAATTGTGCTTTAACAAAAAAAGAAAAGAAAGGCGCGACCCAGCCGCACGTAGGTCCGAACGCCGAGCGACCGCGGCAAAAGCTGGCCTTCTAATCGATGCTTTCGGCACTCTTCCCTGGACTGCGAAGAGGAAGGAAATCCGCGATGGTTTAGTCAGGCCTGGCTGGCGCTCTGGAGGAGGAAGGCGCTGAGCTCAAACTACGGAAGCTCAGCGGCGTGGTGGCGGCGGACTTCTGAGGTAAAAGGGGTTAGCCTGGAGGTGTCGGGCATTGCTGCAGTGTCGGCAGGGGCGTTGTTTAGGGTCTTTGAGACGAAGCGGACAAACAGAAACAAGGCCTCGGCGGGGCGGGCGCGTCAGGGAGTGTTACGAGCGGGGCCCTCAGTAACCGTTTTGCTTCGGAGTGACGCTTCTTCCGTTTAGCTGAGGGGCCCGCGACGAAGGGGAGACTCGAAGCCCTTCAAGCGCCCCCCCTTTTTTTTACCTCAGTTGTCTTCGCTTTCACGGAAAGGGTGCAACCACGCAACGCCCTCCTTCCTCCCGGTTTCGTAGGCCTCGCTAAGGAGTGCAGGGAGGTGGGAGGCCCGCTGTGGGGGGTCCCGCCACTCCTCGGTTTCTCGCGAGGAACCCCCCCCCCCGCTTCCCTTCTGGTGTCTCTTGGAGTGTGGCTCTCCATCCCTTAGTTCCGCCACTAGGCTTGCCTGCTCCTTTGCGGCTCCGAAGGAAGGGCTCTCTGCCGCCGCTCATCACCCTCCTCAGAGTTTGAGGGACAGAGTGGCCTTTGACTGAAAAGTATTTTTCGTGGAACTAAACGGTTGGATGTTGAGAGTTTGGCAGCCTCAGTCCAGAGGCGCCTAAAGACATGTTCTCAGAGCTCAGCACGCCGTGGGTATAAGATCTGGATGAGAGGTCGTACTTTCCTGGCCCGGAACCTTCGGAGTCTGCCCTGCAAGTAGATTTTCCTGTGATGAGGGAGGGCGAGAGTGAAGGCTGCTGGTGCTACTTCTGTCCCCTTCAGTACAGTACTATGTTTGTAATATTAAGGCAAGAGTGACTAGTGCTTTGACAAGTGTAATGTATGAGATGGACATGACAGCCTCGTAGCACTGAAAGCCTGACATTTATTCCTTAATGAGGCCTGTGGACCTTACTGCTTTTCTGGAACAACGCAATTCTGTTTATGTTTACTTGGAAGTAAGTCCTGAACTCAGTTGAACTTACTGCTTGGTAAAGCAGACTGGAATTGTAGCCCAAGTGCCCTGTAAGTTCTTGAAGTGAATGAGACTTTAAAGTAAACTTCCATTCAAGTTTTCCACCCTTCTCTTTTTTGTGGTGTAAGTCTTTCCCCTAAGAATTCATCTCTAAACGTTTGAGGTTTTTTAATATCATGTATTTAACATATTCACCTTTCTGATTAAAATTAATAAGGAATCCAAGTAAATCTGATCAAGTTTGTTCTTTAATTTTTTCTCATATCCTGTCACTTTTTTTTCAAACTCCTTTCCAGTTAGAATTTGGGCCTCCCCACTAAGGTTGAAACAAGTTCTTGGAGATTTTCCCATCTTCACTAAAAAAAGAGTGTCCTGACACATTAAAACTTTTATCAGAAAAAATATCAACTGTTATATTTTTTGTTTCTGCAAGATTTTTTGTTCCTGCAAGACTGCAAGAAGACCATGACTTTTTTGTGTCAGCAGTAGCAATAAGGAAGTAATTTCTGTGCAAAACCTCTTGTTTTATGCACAAAGTAAAGGATTTATGTTTACACAAAATGTTTCTGCAAATCTTTCACAAAGTGTACAAAATTCTCATAATCTTATTGAACTAGGAAAGAAGTTTTTAATTTTTTCCTTCTCACTTGTGAGAGCAAAATAAGTGAAGATGTGCATTCCTAATCCCAGTGTAAACTGAAACATAAGGTAAAGGTTCCCCTTGACATTTTTTGTCCAGTCATGTTCGCCTCTAGGGGACGGTGCTCATCCCCGTTTCCAAGCCATAGAGCCAGCGTTTTGTCCAAAGACAATCTTCCGTGGTCACATGGCCAGTGCGACTTAGACACTGTTACCTTCCCACCGAGGGGGTCCCTATTTATCTACTTGCATTTGCATGCTTTCGAACTACTAGGTTGGCGAGAGCCGGGACAAGCGACGGGAGCTCACTCTGTCGCGTGGATTCGATTTTAGGACTGCTGGTCTTCTGACCCTGCAGCACAGGCTTCTGCGGTTTAGCCCGCAGCGCCACCACGTAGTCTGAGCAAATTCTTTCTATGACTAAATCCTCCCCACTCAAAGGGAGAGCAGAGTTTCTTTTGTTCTACAGTCAAAGTCTTGCTGCTTATTTGTGTTCTTCATTCTCCCTACAGCTTATTCTGGTTTGATAATTTGTGGAAGATGAAGACTGGGGAAATTATCACAAAAATGGGTGTAATGTTAGATTCACTTATCTGAAATGATATAGTCATGCTGATCCAATTCCCTTCTGATCTGATGTCTTGAACCATCATGAAATAGCTTATATCTTAATGTAGTTGGTAGGTGTCGAGATTTAGTACAGGGAAAGTGCCCCAGAGGGAGACCACAGTTGCTATACAAGGATATCTGCAAGCGGGATCTGAAGGCCTTAGGAATGGACCTCAATAGATGGGAAACCTTGACATCTGAGCATTCAACCTGGAGGCAGGCAGTGCAGCATGGCCCCTTCCAATTTGAAGAGACACTTGTTCAGAAGACCGAGGCAAAGAGGCAGTCCCAAAACCAGCAAAATCAGGGAGCTGGACAGGGAACAGATTGTATTTGTCCTTAGTGTGGACAGGATTGTCACTCTCGTATTGGCCTTCTCAGCCACACTAGATGCTGTTCCAAGACCTCTCCTCAGAGCACATTACCATACAGTGGTGCCTCGACTTACAACCATAATCCCTTCCAGAAGATGGATGTAACTCGAAACGGTCGTAAGGCGAAATACCATTTCCCATAGGAATGTACTGAAATTCAATTAATCTACAGTATTCTGGCCGAAGGAACTCCCCCCCCCCAAATCACTGCAAGACTCATTGGAAACATGATTAATCCATTGCGCCTGGAGACTCATTGGAAACATGATTAATCCATTGCGCCTGAAGGGGGGGGAAGGAAAAGCAATCAAGCATGCAAGACCCATTGGAAATGTACAGAAAACAAACAGAGCAGATCGGAAATGCACAAAGGGGACAGGTCGGAAATGCAAAGAAAACAAAGGAAAAAGCAAGGGAAGCATGTGGGACCCATCGGAAATGGGGAAGCCCCCCAACAAACAAACAACCCCCAAAGACCCATCGGAAATGGGGGGAGCCAAACAACAAACAAAGCCCCCCCCGAGACCCATCGGAAATGAGGGGAAAACCCCCAAAGCAACCAACCCCCCCAAGACCCAGTGGAATTGGGAAAAAACACTTCAAAAAGCAATAAAACCCCTAAGACCCATCGGAAATGGGCGGCAGGGGGAGAAACAAAAAAACAAACAAACCCCAAGACCTATTGCAAATGGGAAAAAACACTTCAAAAACCAACAACCCGCAACCAAACCCCCCAAGACCCAGTGGAATTGGGAAAAAACACTTCAAAAAGCAATAAAACCCCTAAGACCCATCGGAAATGGGCGGCAGGGGGAGAAACAAAAAAACAAACAAACCCCAAGACCTATTGCAAATGGGAAAAAGCACTTCAAAAACCAACAACCCCCCCCAAGACCCATCAGAAATTGGGAAAAAACCTCCAAAAACAACCCCCCGAGACCCATCACAACACAGAAACATAAGCCCCCCCAGCCCATAACCACACTGCAAAAACACCCAGAACAGTTTTTAAAAAGCAGAAAACAGCACCTTACCTTACCAGGCAGCCCGAAGCCTCCCTGCAAACACACACGCTCACTCAGAAGCAGAAGTGAGGCAGTCCCAAGCCTCCTCTGACGCGCATTCTCTAACTGCTGGGGCAAAAGATCTACAAAGAAGGAGCCACCTACAGTTAGCAATTTGAATTTCCTGCCTTTCCCCCTTGCCTTTTTCTGTTCGTAAGTGGAAGCTCCTGTCACAAGTAGAAGCAAAATTTTGCGGCTGGAGCTGGTTGTAACTCAAAATGGTTGTAAGTAGGGATGTTCAAAAGTCGAGGCACCACTGTAGTCTCTTGAGACTGAAGGATGACTACTAAGGTGTTGAGTGTGCTGAATATTCTGTGATAAACTGGAATTCCAGTGGTTTTCCCACATAGTGTGTTTAGCAGGTCATCTGGTTGTCAGTGTGTCTGAATAGTTCAGTAATTTGGCAAGCTGCCTGCAGAGTCAGAGGCTGGGAACATTATTGCCCACTGTGCCTCCTGGGAGTAGACCTAGACTATATAGCCTTGGGCAAGCTACAGAATCCTAGAATGCTCCCAGAAGAAGAAAATGGCAAGCCACTTCTGATTACTGTATTTTCTACTTAGAAAGACCTGGAAAGAGTCATCATAAGTTAGAATTGACTTGCTAGCACATAGTTAGTATTAAATCCTTGTCAAGTATGCTATTGTGTATCTAAAAATATAGCCTTTATTAAGTGATTTAGGATATTAAACTAGATACAGCCCATAATCCTACACCATAGAATGAGTATAGGAAAGTCTTACACTTGTGCATGCACTGGACTCTTCTACTGTGATTGTGAGGAGGCTGCAAGCATTTGCTTGTCTTTCTAGCTGGCTGTAGTTTGTAGTGTCAAACTATGGTTTTACATTGCCTCATTTAGACCATTGTTATGTAATTGTTTCTAATCAAGTAACAATTTGTTAAATATTGGATAAAGCGATTATTCAATGATAAATATTACTAAATAATACTTTGTTAGAGGTCTTTTTCTGGAGAAAAAAGTTCTCAGGGTATCTCAGAGCTTTTAGAATAGCTAAAATAGAGAACAGTTAGAAATAATATGAGAAAATTAGCATAATTTCAATTAGCATAATTGAAATCCTGGTCCCCAAGAATAAAAGAAGTTAAAACTAATCTATTTGCGAAGGCTTTCATGGATGGGATCTAATAGTTGTTGTGAGTTTTTCAGGCTCTTTCAGAATACGGCCAAAGAGCCTGAAAAACCCACAACAGCCATTAAAATTAATCATTATTTTTCTCAGTTTGGACATAATAGTTAATTTCAAATAGGAAAAAAATACTTCTGATTTCTTCCTTACAGTGATGTTGGAGTGGGAGAAGAGAATGGTTGAAAGCATGCCTCTCCTCATTCTCATTGTACTTAAGTACCTTAAAGGATGCTTTTGTTTGGAAGTTAGGGGCCTGTGTCCCTGTGGGTTGGGCAGTAGCAATCCATTGACTGAAATCCAGTGGAGTAACTTATGTCACATAAGGCTCATGATGTTCATCAGGGGTGGTGGGTTTTTTTTTTTAGAAATAAAAATTTCCCACCCCCACTCCAAGAGATCATGGCTCCCTTGAGATCCTTTCATTGTGGAGATGCTATTTTGGGCCACAGGATGAGTGGGGAGTCCTTAATGTCCAAAATTGCCTTTTCAAGATAAGTTTATCAGTGGTAGTTTCTGGTAATTAAAGACTTCCCCCTCCTGTCCAAGAGCCCCCAGTGGCCTTTCACTGATGAATGGGACTCTGTGGTAACTTCAGACTTTTGGGAAAGAGGTAAAAATGTTTTATTTCTGAAAAACTGTGATAGCTGATGGCATCATCTGCTTTATGCAGTTTAGCTGCACAAATAGCCAATATTTACGCACACCCCTCCATTCCATTGTTCCTGTCTTGTTCCCTTCTGCCACATTCTCTCTCTCATCTACTTATACATAGCAATTTATATGGGAACTTTTTGCTTTGCTTATTTGCCATGTTGGGTGACTGGAATCACGGAGATCAAATACTGTGCAGTGGTGCCTCCACTTACGAACGTTCCTACTTATGACCAATTCGACTTATGACCAGCTCCAGCTGCAAAATTGTGCTTCTATTTGCAGCCAGAGCTTCCACTTACAAAGAGAAAAAGGCAGGGGGAAAAGGTGGGAAATTCAAATTGCTAACTGTAGGTGGTGAAAGAGGATGCTTCTTTGTAGCTCTTTTGCCCCGACGGTTAGAGTGAGTGCAAGGGAAGGAGGCTTGGGACTGCCTGACTTCTGCTTCGGAGTGAACATGTGTGTGTTTGCAGGGAGGTAAGGTGCTATTTTCTGCTTTTAAAAAACTGTTCTGTGAATTTTTGCAGCGCGGTTTTGAGCTGGAGGGGTTATGTTTCTGTGCTGTGATGGGTCTTGGGGGCTTGTTTTTTTTTTTGTTTTCCCCCCCTCATTTCTGATGGGTCTTGGGGAGTTTGGTTGCTTTTTGGGTTTTCCCCCATTTCTGATGGCTCCTTCATGCTTTCCTTGCTTTTTCTTTTGTTCTCTGTGCATTTCCAATCTGCTCCGTTTGTTTTTCTGTGCATTTGCGATGAGTCCCGCATACTTCCCTTGCTTTTTTCCTTTGTTTTCTGTGCATTTCTGACCTTGTTCCTCTTTTCTCTGTGCATTTCCAATTTGCTCCATTTTTGTATTCTGTGCATTTGCAATGGGTCCTGCATGCTTCCCTTGCTTTTTTCCTTTGTTTTCTGTGCATTTCCGACCTTGTTCCTCTGTTCTCTGTGCATTTCCAATCTGCTCTGTTTGTTTTCTGCGCATTTCCATGCTTGATTGCTTTTCTCCACCCCCCCTTTGGCCGGAAGGGATTAATTGCGTTTCCAATGAGTCTTGCAGTGATTTTTGTGTGTGTGGTTTTTTCTTTGGCTGGATTGGATTAATGGGGTTTCAATGCATTCCTATGGGAAATGGTGCTTCGATTTAAGACCATTTTGACTTATGTCCATCTTCTGGAACGGATTATGGTTGTAAGTGGAGGCACCACTGTAGCAGGCTGGATCCATAAATGCTGTGGGTCAGTGACTCCATATTCCTAGTACTGGCCAAGATAATGTTATGCCGTAGAAAGACAATGGCATAACTCACAGCAGCAAATTGTCATTAATTAAGAAGTCATTGTTTGGATTCTAGGTCATGTAGCAAGCCATCTGAGTTGCATGTAGTGAACATCCATTCAGTGATTCATTTAATCAGTGGTACGTACAGGAAACTTGCCCAGTGTGGTGGCCTTCGGATAG